TCGCTTGCGAACTCGGCATACAGGGAGAGGGGTTTGGAGAGTGAGTATTTTGTTTTTTGGTGGCTTGGGGTTTGTGTAGCTTTCTTTTGCTGATGTGTTTTGCTTCTTGTCTGTAGGTATCATGGGGAAGAATTTGTGGCGCGAGCTCAAACATCGCTACAATGTCACAGAACTCGAGGTCCCCGAGCCTCAAGAGGAGGATGTTCCCCCTCTAAAGGTCAGCCGAAAGAGGAAAAGGGGAGCGAAGGAGGTCGGGGGGACCTCTGCCCCTGCGGACGCCGAGGAGGTGACCTCCACGGCCGCTGATGCGAGTGCGGTGGACCTTACTAAGAGTCCACCGCCCAAGGAGGCCCCTCAGGTGGCTTTTGAGGAGGTGGTTCGGGCTGCCAAGGTGGCGATTCCGGCCACTGAGCAGGTCGCCCAGGCTGCCAAGGTGGTGAGAACCCTGTTACTGTTGCTTTTTTAATGTCGTTTATTGTGTTTTTCTGTGTTCTGACCTGGGGTCATCTGTCGCAGGAGGGAGATACCGTCGAGGCGGCGACGCAGGCTGCTGGGCGGGTCGCCCAGGCTGCCGAGGTGGCGGTTGCGGCCACCGAGCAGGTCGCTCCTGCTGTTGAGGTAAGTAGTATTCCCTGACTTTCGTGGTTTCCTGTTTGTCATCTTATCTCTTTTTTGACATGGGGCTGGTTTCCGCAGGCGAGGTCGGAGGTTCCCTCGTCCCCCGCTGCAGCTTCGGCACCGCCGTCTGGTTCGTCACAGGGGGCTTCCCGGAGCTGATACCTGGCCCACCGCTTCGGGGGGGCCTTCCAAAGGTGCGGCTGGACCATGTGAGCACCTCGGCCGACCTGGACTCCTTGTGGAGCTCGGGGGTGACCGCTGAGAAGTTCTTCCCTCAGGGTTCGTTGAGCTCCGAGGACCAGGGGCTGATAGAGGAGGTCGGCCCCGAGGATAGTTTCGATGTTGCTCAGGTCCTGCTGCAGAGGGCTATGGGCATCCTAGGTCACTAGAAGCCGAGGTGGGTCAAGCAGCAGGAGGACCTGGCCAAGCAGCAAGAGGAGCTGGCCAAGCTGAGGGGCCGACTTCAACCCTGGAAGGATGCAAATAAGATCCTGAGGGAGGAGAACAAGGCTCTCAGTGTTGCTGTTGGTGAGGCGAGGCGGCAGGAGGTGGAGCTTCGGTCTGCGCGGGGCGATCTTGCAAGGGTGCAAAAGTCTCTTGAGATCGCTTTACGATCCAACGAGGCTTATGCTTCCCA